CTGGCCTCCTCGCTATTGGTTTCAAGCTTCATACAGTTCCCTACTTCCGCCTCGCAGACACATATAGACAGGGCGAGGAGTCCTGCTCCCCTACCATAGTACTGCTTTGGACTACCATGGAATTCAATTTGACCAGGAACCTCTTTTACTCAGAGAAGTAAATACCAAAAAAGGATGTTTTGAATACTAGTTTTGCGGTTTCCGATCAACTACATTCTCTTGTCCTGACAGCCCTGGGGGCCCAGTTGGGGTGGGAGAATGTGAACTTGCAGGGTAGCCGATTGGAACTGCGTCTCCAGCGGGGCTGAGAAGCCTGGGCCTGGGCTCATGGAAACAAGCAAGCAGCTGGGACCGTCAGAGTTAGGATTGTGTGGGGAGCATGATGGAAGGGCAATGAACTATAGTTTGCGGGCTTCGGCCCGAGAGTGGCTGAAATGACAGCTCTTAAAATTAAAGCTGAAGAGAGGAGAAAATAAAGATAAGGGGAGCTGATCAAGTAATCGATGTAGTTGGAATAACCCATTAAGAGACAAGGAGGCTGGGAGTGGTGGCTCACGCCTGTAATCCCAGCACTTTGGGAGGCCGAGGTGGGCGGATTGCCTGAGCTCAGGAGCTGGCGACCAGCCTGGGCAACATGGTGAAACTCCATCTCTACTAAAATACAAAAAATTAGCCGGGCGTGGTGGTGTGCGCCTCTAATCCCAGCTACTCGGGAGGCGGAGGCTCAGGGAGCTGAGATCACACTATTGCGCTCCAGCCTGGGCGACAGAGTGGGAGTGTCTCAAACAACAACAAAAAAGAAGGACAGAAGAAAGATATGAGCTGTGGTGAACGGTGGGGTTTCAGATTTTGGAAGCGGAGAAATATTCAGGGCAATGCCATGTCCTGTGGAGAAGCGACGAGTGTGGAGCGTGGAAGTGACGGGAGGTGAACATCCCTGAGTCTCAGGAGGCAAAAAACCCAGATGCTACAAGACAATGAGGACAACCAGGATGGCAGCAGGGTTTGGGCCAAAGTGGAAAATTGTGAGCCAGGTAGCAAAACGTTCAGCAAATGGAGGGGAGCAGGACGGCAACGAAAAGGGATAGAACCGTGAGATCGCAGGGCCGGACCACAAAGGACAGTGTCCCACAGAGCACAGTGGTCTGAGAGGGGAACTGAGAAGTGACCCGGAGGCCCACGGAGTGTGGGAGAAGCAGCAGCATTCCCTGGAGAGGGCTGCAGATGCTGGTCCTCAGGGTAAGCCGGGTTTGAGTCAGGAGGCAGAGGAGGGTCACGGAGCCTTTCCGAGGGCACACGGGAGCAGTGGAAGACTGCGTCGTGAAGATGAAATGCAGGGCAGCATGGCGACACACACGAAGACGGCGGGGACGTCCAGACCCTCCCACTTTATTTCTATCTACGTGTCTTTTATATATTTAGTACGCCCTTTCCAATATTTTTCAAAACAATGTGGATACCGTTTTAAAAAAATACTTCAAAATTTTAAACATTATATGCCAGAAACAAGCCTGAAGTCTCTTTTTTTTCTTTTTTTTTTGAGACAGAGTCTTGCTCTGCAGCCCAGGCGGGAGTGCAGTAGTGCAATCTCGGCTCACTGCAGCCTCTGCCTCCTGGGTCCCGGTTCAAGAAATTCTCCTGCCTCAGCCTCCTGCTGAAGTCTTTTAAATAAAGGTTCACAACAACAAAATCAAGAAATTATCTCAAACAATGGTTGACAAACACAATACTGACACACTTACCAGCTTGCTATTATTTGTGTTAATTATTCTTGGCTTGAAGGAATTGAAGGGAGAAGAAAGAGGTTAAGTACACAACAACTAGAAATAAATATTGGCATTGCTGAAATATTTAATAGTACAAAAAGAGGAACAATCATGGTTCTTTGTCACTCTACTCACCCACCTTTAAAAAAATCACAAGCGAGGCTGGACACAGTGGCTCACAGCTGTAATTCCAGCACTTTGGGAGGCCCATGCGGGTGGATAACCTGAGGCTGGGAATTCAAGACCAGCCCGGCCAATGTGGGGAAACCCTGTCTCTACTAAAAATACAGAAGTCAACCAGGCGTGGTCATGTGCACCTTTAATCCCAGCTACTGGGCAGGCCAAGGCACAAGAATCACTGGAACCTGGAAAGTGGCGGTTGCAGTGAACCGAGATTGTGCCACTGCACTCCAGCCTGGGCGACAGAGCAAAACTCCATCTCATAAAAAAAAGAAATCATTGAGATACCATCTCACGCCAGTTAGAATGGCGATCATTAAAAAATCTGGAGACAACAGATGCTGGAGAGGATGTGGAGAAATAGGAACACTTTTGCACTGTTGGTGGAAGTGTAAATTAGTTCAACCATTGTGGAAGACAGTGTGGTGATTCCTCAAGGACCTAGAAATAGAAATTCCATTTGACCCAGCAATCCCATTACTGGGTATATATCCAAAGGATTACAAATCGTTCTACTTTAAGGACACGTGCACACGAATGTTCATGGCAGCACTGTTTACAATAGCAAAGACCTGGAACCAACCCAAATGCCCATCGACGATAGACTGGATAGGGAAAATGTGGCACATATACACCATGGAATATTATGCAGCCATCAAAAACGATGAGTTTGTGTCCTTTGTAGGGACATGGATGAACCTGGAAACCATCATTCTCAGCAAACTGACACAAGAGCAGAAGATCAAACACCGCATGTTCTCATTCATAGGCGGGTGTTGAACAATGAGAACACATGGACACAGGGAAGGGAGCACCACACACTGGGGTCAGTTGGGGGGAAGTAAGGGAGGGACGGTGGGGGGTGGGGAGCTGGGGAGAGATAGGAAGGGGAGAAATGCCAGATGTAGGTGATGGGGACGAAGGCAGCAAATCACACTGCCACGTGTGTACCTATGCAACAATTTTGCATGTTCTTCACATGTACCCCAAAACCTAAAATGCAATAAAATAAATGGGAAAAAAAAAAAAAGAAATCACAGGTGAACTAAGGGGAGATCTCAACAGTCAGAGCTGAAAGGCACACAGTGTATTTATAGCAGAGACAGATTCTTTGATACCAAAGTTGAATTGAGACAACAGATTGAGAGAATGTGGAGTGAGATCTTTGCCTCAAGTTGGGTTGGTGCTAGAGCAGGTCCGTGATCGGTTAGGAACAGAGCTGCACAGCAGGAAGTGAGCGGCAGGCCAGTGAGCATTACGGCCTTGAGCTCCACCTCCTGGCAGATCAGTGGTGGCTCTAGATTCTCACAGGAGCTGGAATCCTACTGTGAACTGCGCATGTGAGGGATCTAGGCTGCGTGCTTCTTATGAAAATCTAATGCCTGATGAGCTGAGGAGGAACAGTTTCATCCCACAACCATCACCCCCCAATCTGTAGAAAAATTGTATTCCGTGAAACTGGTCCCTGGTGCCAAAAAGGTTGGTGACCACTGAGCTAGAGAGCTGGGCAAGGGTTAAGAAAGTTGATGCTTTTCCACAGAAAGGCAAATACCACTTGTTCTCACTCATATGTGGGAGCTTAAAAGGTAGACCTCATGATGATACGCAGTAGATTAGTGGTTGCCGAAGACCAGGAAGGGGAGGGGGGAAGGGAGATGAAGGGGAAGAAAGGAAATACATGTATTTATTCCCACTGAACTGTATACTTAAAAATCATAAAGATGGTTAAAAAAAAAGAAAAAGCAAAAAGAAAGAAAAATCAGAATAAGGGCTATAGACTAGATAATAGTCCTTTATCTATATTAACTGCCCTGTGTTTTAAAATAAATTATACTGTGGTCATGTAAGAGAATATTTAGTTTTAGGAAATACACATAAGTCTGCAACTTAGTCTTAGAGTTCAGAAAAGAGAGAGGGAAATAAAATAAATATAGTAAAATGTTAACATTTGGAGGATCTGGATAAAAAGCGTATGAGAATTTTTTTGCACTATTATAACTTTCTTGCATGCTTTTGTGATTAAAAAAACTTAAATGTAAAAAAAAAAGAAAGAATGAAAGGAAAAGAAAGAAAGGTGATGCTTTTCATAAACTATGGATCCTCTCCCCAGAAGACTGTACCTAAGGTGGTATGAAGAATGTTTCACTTACCATCTCAAGGGATTAAAAACTCACCAAAGACCATTCTTGAGCCAAGACTAAGAGCAAGTGAAGTGTAGGACAGTGGCTCAGAGCAGCCAATCAGGGAGCTGGCTTCTGAGGAAAGAAGGTATTTTGTTTGGGAAAATTCCAGAGGAAAAATGTAGGGAAGCCATGGTTTCAGGGTCTAGATGGATTTGAGGATAGAGGTTTTGAACTAGGAGAAGTGAATGGATCAGGGGCCGGAAAGACAGAGACTTCATGACAAATACCTAGCTATGAGAGTGATGGGCTACACCTTGAAATGTGGTACAAATCATCATCATTAGGAAATCCAGGAATGAGAGATTCACACAGGGCAGAGGTAGCATAGAATGAAAAATGGTAGGCCAGGAATGGTGGCTTACGCCTGTAATCTCAGAACTTTGGGAGGCTGAGGCAGGTGGATCACTTGAGGCCAGGAGTTCGAGACCAGCCTGGCCCACATGGCAAAGTCTTGTTTCTACTAAAAATATTTAAAAAATTAGCTGGGCATGGTGGCGGTAGTCACAGCTACTCAGGGGGCTGAGGCAAGAGAGTCACTTGAACCCTGGAGGTGGAAGTTGCAGTGAGCTGAGATGACAGCCCGGGTGACAGAGCAAGACTCCAGCTCAAAAAAAAAAAAAAAATTAAAAATTCCCAGTCTGGAGTCAGACCTAGGGTCAGACTTTCACCCCACTCATGTTTAGCTCACTGTTGAGAAGTCTGGCGTCTCTAGGCCTCTCATGGAAAAGAAGAGAGCTCACGGGGTGAGAATTAGCTTAGCTAATACAAGAACGTGTCTTATGTGAAACCCAGCATCCCGTGGCCTGAAGCAAATAGCAGCACATTACATGAGCAGATTTGGAGAATTCCATTCACTACCCCATGCTCTTACCAACAACGCCAACCGAGGAGACAGGCTGCGCTGATGCTGTTTTCCACGATGCTCCAGAGGGAGATGACCACTTATTTGCTTTCCTTTCAGCTAAGAAAGCATATTGCAGGGCTCTCGCCTGCCCTGATTGCAAAAGATATTGAAACAGCTCCTTCTCCTTCTTGCTGCCCACTTCATAGGGATACTGCACAGCAGCCTGGACCGCTCGGACACAAGCCTCCTGAGCAAGACACCCAGGGTGCTGCTTCCGCATCTTCAAGAGGGCCTCACTAAAAATGGTGTCCATGTTGGGCAAGCTCGGAATTGGCTTGTTGAAGAGTCTACGGGATTCTAAAGGTTGATCTGAAAGGAATACGAATGATCAGAGCTCTGGAAATGTTACTTGTCCAAAGGGAATATGAATACATAATAATAACAATAACTGGTTCAAATTCAAAGCACAAACTAAAGATATTCATTAAGATATTTAATGCCACTAAACCTATGTACACTAACATCTCTGCTATCGTTGCAACATAGTCCTATAAGATAGAATTTAGCAGATTCAAAGCAATTTTAGGTTACCTAATTTAGGCATAAAAGTTTTATTTTCTTTTTAATCCAAGGCCAAGACAATTTTATAATAACTATTAAATAGATTAAATATTAATTATAATAAAGTATAAATTATAATTAATATTAATATATTAAATATTAACGAGTCTAAGGAAAACAGTTCTGAGTTAATATTTTATTAATTTGAAAAATCATTTCAGCTTTTTAAGTTGAGGGCATACATGTGCAGATTGGTTACATGGGTGTATCACATGATGCTGAGGTTTGGGATATGAAGGATCCCGTCACCCCAGCAGTGAGCATAGTACCCAAAAGCTGGTTTTTCAACCTTTGCTGCCCTCCCTCCCTCCCCTGTAGCAGCCCCTAGCATCTATTGCTGAGTGAATATTTTAGATTCAAAATAACCTTAACTCCATTTCTAATAGTAACAAAAACTTTAAAATATCTAGAAAAGAAGACAGTGTGATATTGATGCAAGGAAAGGCATATGTATCAATGGAAGATAATTGAGATTTCACAAATAAATTCTTACAATTACAGCCAGTGATTTTCAACACAGGTGCCCAAACAATTAAATGGAAGAAAGGAGAGTCTTTCAACAAATGGTGGTGGGGTAACTGGATATCCACATGCCAAAAGCAAACAAAAAAACAAACAAAAAAACTGAAAATGGATCACAAATCTAAACTGAAGAACTAACACTACAAACATTCCTAGAAGAAAATATTAAATTTTCTCAGAATCTTGGGCTTAGGCAGAGTATTCTTAGATACAACACCCAAAGCATAATGTATAAAAGAAACAAGAAATCAGGCCTCATAAAAATTAAAGACTTTTGTTCTTCAAAGGATATCATTAAGAAAATGAAATGACAAACCATAAACTAGGAGAAAATATTTGTGTGGTGGTCAGAATAACGCTCCCCACCAAATGTTCATGTCTTAATTCTCAGAACCTGTGAAGGTAATACCTCACATGGTAAAGAGATTTACAGGTGAGATTAAGATTAAAGACCTTGCCTGGGCACAATAGCTCACACCTGTAATCCCAGTACTCTGGGAGGCTGAGGCAGGAAGATCGCTCGAGCTCAGGAGGTTGAGACCAACCTGGGCAATGTGGTGAAACTACATCTCTATCAAAAATACAAAAAAATTAGCCGGGCATGATGGCACACCCCTGTGGTCCCAGCTACTCTGGAGGCTGAGGTGGGAGAATAGCTTGAGCCTGAGAGGCTGCAGTGAGCCAAGGCTACATGACAGAGTTAAAAAAAAAAAAAAATAGACCTTGAGATGGGGATACCACCCTGCATTATCTGAGTGAGTACCATCTAGTCATATGAGTCCTTAAAAGCAGAGAACGTGTTCTGCCTGTGGTGAGGGGGATTCAACACTGAAGAAGGGCTAGGGAAATGCAACATGAAAAGGCCTACTGGCCCTGATGGAGCTTTGAATGTGAGGAAAAGAGACCAGGAACTAAAGAATGCAGTATTCTCTAGAAGCTAGGATTGACCTTCAGTTTACAAGGTTGCAAGTTTGCAAGCAAGAACATGGGGACTCTGATCCTACAATGCAAGGTACTGACTTCTGCCAGCAACCCAAATGAGCAGGAAACAGTTTCTCCCCTCGAGCCTCCAGAAAAGAGTGTACCAGCTGACACCTGGATTTTAGCCCAGGGAGGCTTCTACAATTCTTCTAGGCTACGGAACTGTAAGAAAATCATTTCGTATGATTTAAACTGCTAAGCTTATGGTAATTTGTCACCACAGCAATAGAAAATGAATACTACTGGCCCATCAAATATCAAATAAATAACTTGTTTCCAGAATATATAATAGACCCTTATGACTTAGGCAAACAATGTAATTTCCTAAATGGGCAAAAACTTGAATAGATATTTCATCAAGGAGCGTGTATGAATGGCTAATATGCACAAGAAAAGATGCTTGACATTATTAGTCATTAAGGAAATGCAAATTAAAACCACAACAAATGTGGTAGACGGCCTCTCTAAGTAATGGGCTGTCATTTCTAGATTAGGTACAGAAAGACTCTGGCTTCAGTCTTGCTCATATTTTCTTGCTCTCCCAAATTGGTCACTCTGATGGAAGCCAGCTGCCCCGTTGTGAGCCACCCTATGGTGAAGCCCATGTGGCAAAGAACTGAAGGAAGCTTTCAGCCCACAGTCAGCGAGGAATGGAGGCCCTCAGTACAACAGCCCATAAGGAACTGGATGCCACCAGCAACTGCTTGAGTGAGTCTGAAAGCAGATTCTCCCCCTCACTCCCAATCAGCCCTGAGATAACTGCAGCCACAGCCAACACTTTGATTGCAGCTTTGTTTGAAATCTGAAAGCCAAAGGACCCAGGACACTTGAATTCTGGACCCTCAGAAATGTGGAATAAATGTTTGATTTTAAGCCACTAAGTTTTGGGGTCATTTGTTATGCAGTTAGACTTATTAGAATGACTACAACAAAAAGGCATCACTGTTGAATGTTGGTGATGATGTAGAGAAACTGGAAGCCTCATACATTGCTTCTGAGAGTGAGAAACAGCACATTGCTCTGAAAAACAGTTTGTTTCTTGAAAAGATAAAGATAAACTTATTGTTCAACCCAGCAATTTTGCTCCCAGGACTCTACACAAGAGAAATGAAAGCATATGCCAGAAAAAAAAAATCTTGTCCACAAATATTCATGGCAACATTATGTAAAATAGCAAAAACTGGAAACAATCCAAACATCCATCAACTGTTGAATGAATAAAGAACACGTGATAGAGCCATGCAATAGAATATTATTCAGCAATAAAAAGGATCAAACTGCTGATACATGCTACAATACAGATGAGCCTCAGTAACATTACGCTAACCAAAAGAAGCCAGATGCAAAAACGTTATGTATTGTATGATGCCATTTAGATCCAATGTCCAAAAAATGCAAATCTATAGAGACAGAAAGATCAGTGGCTGCCTAGGGCTGGGGATGTGAGTGGGAGTTAGCTGTAATGGACATAAATAAACTTTTTGTGATAGTGCACAAGTCTTAAAATTGATTTATGGGGATGGCCGCACAACTCTATAAGGCAAATCATGCCTCATTAAAGCTGTTAAAGTATATCTAGAAATGAATTTATCAGGAAAGGTACAAGACCTTTCAGAAGATAACTATAACATTTTATTGAAGAACATAAAATAAGACCTTAATAAAAACAGAAAAGCCCCATGCTCCTGGATATAAATATTTAATAGCATAAAAATATCAATATTTTCCATATGTATTACACATGAAATTTTAATAAGAGTCCTTATGGTACTATTTTAAAAAATAACTTTACAGAATGATTCCAAAGTTTTCGTAAATTCATAACAACTTATAGTTACCAAAACTTCAGCTATACCAGAAGTTGTTTTCTAAAATATACTAGCATCTCTTAAAAAATAAAACCATTCTATCAAAAATGTACATCTTAGTTATTTAGACAGACAACCTACCAGGGCTTATACCAGAGCAATTTCGCCATAAAAAGACATATGAGCATGAGCCCATCTAGCTTTGGTGTGTTAAGCACGTCCAAGGGAAAGTTAAGTAAGGTTTGGAAGTAATCATGTGTACATGGTAATATAGATATATTGTAGCATATGGTAATGTTGGGGTTCAGTGGAGCCCTTAGCTCCCCTGAGAGGACGTTTCTCCAAGGTTTTGGTCTCCTGCTCTCCCAAGAATGAGAAAGGGGACCAGGTGTGCTCGCAAAGTAAATATCGGACCCCAAACAGAGTTTTTGCAGAAAGTGAATTTATTTTAGGTGGAGAAAGGAAAAAAAAGAAGAGAGAAAACTTCAGAGAGAGAGAGAGAGAGAGAGAAACAGAAACCATTAAATCTCCCAGATGGAGAGAGATGGGAGGAGGGCATGGCGGGCATGGCGCTGGGACATTCTTACCCTTAAAACTATGCCCCCTTGTGGACCCAGAAAGAGAACACCTTCCCTCAGTAATAGAGATATATTGTATAATCTCAACCTCCTTTTTTAACCAAAGAAACAGGAATATTTTCTTAATGCTTGATTAGTAAGTAGTGTTGGAAAGAATGAGTTTCTAAAGTAATGATTTCCCAAATGATGTTAAGAACAGGATTCAGGAATGGAGAAAAGACAGTGGTTAAAGGCATGTGGTCCCTTACCCTGCTACTTTGAAAAAACATGAACTGTATCCAACAGGCCCATCCAAAGAGTTGGCCCAGTCCTCAACTTATGGAAAAGCACACCCAGCAGAGAAGAATGGGGACCCCTCCAGGGTCTTACAGATGATTTAATTAGCCAGTGGCCTAAAACGAAGACGAGAATGGACAATGGGGAGAAGAGGGGGCAGACAAGAGTGTGGAGGCACAGGAGGAGGAGGAAGGCGGGCTGGGCTGCTGGTGCCGGGGCATGAACAGTCGGCCGGTGCAATCTATGCCGCGACAGGGCATTGACAGGGTTGAGAATATCTTAGAGCGGGATCTCTGTTTGTGATGCTACCTCTGTTCCCAGCATTGCTGGCGGTGCTTCTCAACATCATAGCAGACATCCGATTTATTTGAAGATTTAAGAAGTTCAGATGCCCACGTCATACCTCAAAATTAACTGTTGAAGTTTTTAAGAATAGTCATGCCCATGGCCCAGCATAGATTCAGTGAAGAATCTTTAGAGGTGGGGACTAGGAAGACTATTCTTGAAAAGGTCAAAAGTTGATTTTAAAGTATAGTCCCTGGGAGGTCCATGGGCAAAGAGTGCTGTCCGCCACTGAATCAAC